GACACGTGTCACTTAACGAGGTTTTATAATGACCGTTATGGTCGAGACACCTAAAATGGTAACGTTTATAACGTTAGACAGCTGGATAGATAAAAAATAGTTTAGGCACTTATTAGAGAATTTAAGTATAGTTTGGACACTTATTTTGGTATCAAACCTTATTATCATTAAGGGTAAACTATAAGATTAATCACTTTTTGTTTAAATTTTGTACACTTTTCCTTGCTAAATTTAGAAAAACATAATATTTAGTCGCTTTGGATTTTAATTAATTAAGATGTGATCACTAAGAATTAATTGCCGTTAAACTTTTAACGGATTGATGATATAACACATTGAATATATAAAATTAAAAGATGAACTACATAAATGATCACTAATATTTAACTAAATTTTCATTTTTCTTTTAAAATTTTAAAAGTAACAAATTTTAATTTACTCAAAAAAAAAGTTTGAGCTTTTATAAACTCAAGGCTTAATACACTTTTAGGTGCCTAAACTGAATCTTGAATTGATTTTTGGTGTCTAAAGAATTTTTTTAATTAAAAATAGGTGCTTGATGTTTTCTTCGTTATACTTTTAGGTGCATATCGCTAAAAAATCGTTAAGTGACATTTGTCACGTTTATATATTTTTCTTTAAATAAAATATTTTTAAAAAATATGAATGTGACATGTGTCACTTAGCGGATTTTAACGGTAGACACCAAAAAGTGTAACGAAAAAAACATTAAATACTTAATTTTAACGAAAAATTCTTTAAGTACCACAATATAATTTGAGGTATAATTTAGACACCTAAAAATGTATTAAGTCAAAATAATAAAACACACGATACATAAAGATAAAGTTACTGAAAAATAAAATAAAAAGAGATACGATTTAAAAAATAAAATAAGGAATATAGAAAATCGGTACACCAAGATCAACGTTGTCACTTAAAAAGAAGCAAATGACGCTAAGTTGAGATATTTTTTTAGAATTTTCAATAATTATACATTTATTTTTTTAAAAACATACAATCGTTAAGTAATTAAAAATAAGTAAGACTTGTAAATGTACATCACTATAGTCGTTTGACCGACTTATGCTTGTGGGTATTTTTGAGATGTTTCGTATTGATTTTAGTTTTATCCTAAATGTTGTCACGTCATTAACCCCTTACAAAAACACATTTTTTTATTAAAAAAAACATAACCTATATTACACGCCTTTATCAAAATATGCTATCTTTTTAAATAATTTTTAATTCTATTTACGTATATGATATTTTTTTAATGGTATTAGTTATACTCTAAATTTATTTTTGGTGTCTAAAGGAATTTTTTTTTATAAATTTTATATGACTTACACGCGTCAAAAATACTAAAATTTAATAGTCGTACGATCCAAACACTTAAAAGTGTAACGTTGAAAACGTTAAAGATCTATTTTTAATAAAAAATCTTTAAGCACTTAAAAGTGTATTGAGCCTATTGTTTTTAATAAGACCTATACATTTATTTTGAATGTATATTCTATTTCTTAGATAAAATGATTTGCATATGAATATGTGTATTATAAGATTAAGATATGCATGATTTGAGTGACCTAACTAAACAGATACAATCTGGATTTTTTCCTACTTTTCCTTCGCTGCTGTTGTTGAACTTCAATTGGGAAATTAAAGAGCAATGGCGAAGCCGATTCGGATAACCGGAAATGGTCGGATTCCTTTGGAGTCTCCGGTGGCCAAATTTGCTAGCCATTGACTTGCCAGTGCAGATGCCTGCACAGGTTCCGGGACCGGATCCAACCCTGTTGCCTTTGCAGTAGCAGGATCCTGTGAAGATTTCAAACTGCACAAAAAGTTAATGCCATATTCAATAATCAATATGCATGCAGCTACTCAAGTACCAAATTCATACGCACAGTGAATTTGATGAACTAATTATGAAAATTTACCTTGAGACATTGGGACAGAAAGTGATGGTATAATCAGCTCCGGTGCAAGTGAAAGTGCTAGTGACATCATCGAAAGCATAGCTATAGGATTTGGGGCAAACTGACTTGAACACTTGCGAGTACGTGGACGGCTTACAAGCGGCCGGACTATTGTAGGCTCCACTACAACAGTACTCCGGGTTCCCGAATGCGTCGCAGGTGCTCTTACAGGCGCCTCCGCCGTTGATTAGCAGTTCGGACGGGCACTTTTTGTTCAAATCCGTTAAGCAACCGGTGGAGGTACACTCTCCTGACTCCATTTCCTTCCACAATCATAGGTAAATTGTAACCATCAACCAAACTCGAAAAAATTTTAAGTTCAAATCGAGTTGTAAAATACAACTCGAATAACTCGAAATTTTTAGTAATTATTAGATTGATTTTCAAGTTTAAGTCGAATCCATCGACTTTGTATGATATATGTGAATCATACGTAAAAAGATACGAAAAAATATATATGTATTGTATATGGTTATAAAATATCATTTAAATTGGAATCAAATAATGTCATAATATTGTAAATATTTATAATTAAATTTAAATGGGAACTCAAAAAGTTGACTCGACTTGAAAAAATTTCAAATCAACTCCAAGTTATAAAAAATGACTCGTCAACTCAAATAGTTTAAAATTTTTTGACTCGACTCGATCATACGCTCATCCCGGTAAAGTCAAAAATGAATGATGCCCACTAAGGGCAAAAGTTTCGATGTTAAAAACTTGAGGAAGACATCAGTATTTTTCCTGTAATCATTGTCTTTCACAAACAAAATTAACCGACCAAGCAATCAAAATTAAGCACCTCATCTTAGTGGCAAGTCTAATCTAGTCATGATTCAGTTTTGCTAAGTTGCTTATGTTTTCTGATGTGATCATGCTGAAACAGATGTAATATCCGTTCTAACATCTGTATTTTGTATAAAAAAAATGATAACTTAATAAAAAATTATGTTTACATTATTAATTAATATAAGATGATAACTTAATAAAAAACACATTCGAATGACAAGGTTGCTAGACATTAATGTTCGGTCCCCTTTCTTTTCTCAATCCTGAGAATGCGACGGGCTGAGCGCTCAGGGCCGAACATCGGATTGAAAATGATTTTTGGTCTTGTTTAAGATCTTGAAGATGAATTTCGATAATTGAAAGAATCAAAATACTGATGTGAAAGGCAAGTAAACTACTCTATGGAGGGGGTCCAGGCTTGTGACCCGTTTAGGGTACGTTTGGTTCACGGAATGTAAGATTACCAGTGGGAATAAAAGATTACTAGAGAATATGATTACTGAGAATGTTGCATTTTGTGTTTGGTTGGTTTAGCAGGAATGTAAGATTATCGTGTTTGGTTAAAGAAATAAAAGATTATTGGAATGTATATTTGACCAAATTGTCCTTATTATATATTTGTATAATATTACAAATTGTAAAATATTTATATATTTTCTTTAAAAAATTAAATTCATAATATTTATATAAATTTTTTACAAAATTAAAAATATAAAAAATGTTTAATGAAAGAGTAAATTTTTTTAACCCATGAACTTCATATAAAATTTTAATTATAGATTTTTTTTTGTAAATCTAAAATAATTTAAGGATAATTTTGTAATTTAACCTTCGTAGAATTTTTATTATTCAATGACAGAAGAATGATATTTTTGAAGAAAAAAAAATTTAAGGGCATTTTAGTCCAAAACGCCGGTAATATTACAATACCTAAGGGAAGGGAGGTAATGACATTCCCAATAATATACCCCAAAAAAATCTACTATTGGTAATAAAAACATTATCGAGAATGAGATTCTCGGCCAACCAAATATGGGAATCCCACAATCCTTGAACCCAGGTGCGAAGTTATTCCGCCTGGCACATTTTTGAGGCCGCACAGTTTTGTTTGCATAATATCATAGGTCGGAAAGTAAGAAAGAAAGGGATATGAGGATGCGCTGTGTAATGTTTGCCACACCTCAGCCCCATCAAAACGATTCATCGGTCATGACGATGCACACTGTTCGCCACTTGTCCATCCAGTATTACCCATGGAAGACGTTATACTCTCCACCACACGTCAAATGATTAACTAACAAAATCTTTCATGCTTTCAACCTGTTTTTCCTCGATTAATTTGATTGGAAATTTTTTAAATTTAGACTTGATATCTGAGAATCATGGACTATTGTGATTAAGTTCGCGATATAAATCCAAGTTGGGAAATGGATGATACTTCTGTCAGCCCAAATCTAGCCCCAATACGTTCCCCATGATACCACTAGCTGATAGATGATGCTAATGGGTATGGGCTTTGGAATCTTATTAAAGAGTTGCCCAAGTCGTTTTCAAAAACAATATTCCCACTCGAACAATCTCCAACAGAAGAATGGAGAGCTTTTATGGTCAAAAAGAAAGCAAGCCCTTCTCCATTATGTCGAGCTTAGATCAAGCATCATGATATTGCAATGACCACACAAGACACCCTTTCAATGGTTAACTGCTCCTAGTATGAGCATCAGTCAATAGAAAGAAAAAAAAATGCAGACCCTTTCTCAAAGAGATTAAAACAATATGGTAGAGACCTAAAACTTATTGTGCTTGATGTAATATCAATAACAATTCACTTCAACACAGCTGTTAACAGCTTCTATAAGACGGTAAGATCAAACATCTTCATCACAGAGCATCAAATGCACAATGACAATCAATACCCAGACAACATCAAAAACTTCAGCTGGACATAAGAAATATTTTAAGATCACCTATATAGCAGCTAAGAGAGAAGAATCAACATCTCTTCAATTTGGAAGCTGTTATCTAACAACTAGGACGCTATACAACAAAACAGGCATCTATAAAGGCATGGGGCATGGCATAAGCATCACGACTAAACCAAAAAAGCTAGAATCCATTTCATCAAGAGGATCACAGAATACAACAAGATTTAGACAATAACTTCCTTAAAAACATATAGGATCAATGCAGAAGAACAAAGTATTTGAGAAAAAAAGCACCCATAACAATATAGAAACAGTAATTCACAATTGAAAATAGATAAGGAATCGAGAAATAACCCGAAGTCACTGATAATAATCCAAAATAACCAGAACAACAAAATCTAAATTTTAATCCAAGCCATCTCAACTGTGTATCACAATTGGAAAAATTCTCCCCCCATAAAAAAAAAAGAAAAGAGATGGATAAGCCAAAACATCCTTATGTATAACCTCTAAGAACCATAGAGAACCCCAAAACATAGAAAAAGAGAAATATCTACTATTACTCTTTCTTTCCCAGACATTCAAGTTTAAGCTGAAGACTTCAAGTTTGGACACTCCCTTGCAAAATGACCTGCCTCGCCGCATTTAAAGCATTCAGTTCCTTTGTTATTGTTGTTGTTGTTGTTGTTGCAATCCCTCGCCATATGCCCAAACCCTCCACAGTTAAAGCAGCCTCTGCCACCGCCGCCACCACCGCCACTGTTTCTATTGCAGTCCCTGGCAAAGTGCCCAAATCTCCCACAGTTGTAGCACTTTCCAGCCCCACCACCGGAAGATCCGCCAGCATCCCTCCTACAATCCCTCGCAAAATGCCCCGCCTCACCACAATTATAACAAGAGCCCCCACCGCCACTGCCGTACCCAGCGTTATTGTAATTATCGTTATTGTCGTACGAGCCTGCGTTGTTATTGCAATCCCTGGCGAGATGATTCGTATCCCCACATTTATAACACCCGCCGCTCCCGTTCCTCCGATCGTTCCTCCAACCGCCGCCGCCGCCGCGACGATCCTTCTTAATGATTTGAGAGCCACCGAGCGCGGTGACATCAACAGCCTGAGTTTTCCCACTGTTGCCTTGGGAAACGGTGAACTCAACAGATTCGCCCTCGGCGAGGCTACGATAGCCGTCAGATTTGATGGACGATTGATGGACGAAGAGATCTTCGCCGCCATCGTCAGGATGGATAAATCCGAAGCCTTTCTGGTCATCGAACCAGAGGACCTTGCCGGCGGATCTTGATTGCTGTTGGTCTTGCTGTTGCTCAGCCATGGAAGCTGGTTGCGAGATTTGGGATAGTAAAAAGGAACTTTTGATTTGTTTGTTTTAGGGTTTTTGAGTGTGTGAACCAACAAAAGGCGAATTTATAGGGGAAATTTTGGGTTTCAAGAAAAAACTGGTTAGGGGCAAAGGCTACTCTAATTGTTAGGGGTAGCACCGACTTTTTATTCCTCAACTGGTTAGGAATTATAGGGTCAAAATTTATTTTGGAGTCTATAATATTTTTTACAGTGACATATGACGAGTTTCAATAAAAATATTTTTTATTTTAATTTTTTATTTTGATGTGATAGATTTTAATAAGAAAATATTTTATTTGAACTCGTCATTTTGATCTATGAGTTCGAATAAAAAATATTTTCTATTGAAACTCGTTATCTCAGCGTGACGAATTCTAATAACACTGTAAAAAATGTCATAGATCTCAAAATAAATTTTAACTTATTTTAATGAACTATATAAAAAACTCTTTATCTGCTAAATCATCCAATTATAGGTAAAATATTTTAGAAAAATGACCTCTATACTATACATGATTCTCATATCAGCCCTTAGAGATTGTTTTGGTAAGAGATATTTCTTAAGCTGTACTTTTTTCATTTTATCCAAAGTGTACAACATTCAATAACAATAGTCACACCCTCATTGATTAATATTATTTTAATTTTTTAATTTTATAAATCAAACAGTTCAATCAAGTTACTTTGTCTTTAATATTTGATTGAAAAACTAACATGGTAGTTAAAAAGAACGATATAATTACACATTTTACAATTTACCCCGGCAATATTCATCCAAATTAAACGTCGAATCAATCAGATATCAATTGTTATAAAAAAGCATTTGCAGGTGTAGCCCTCAAAGCCAATCAAGCATTGGATACATGTGAAACACATGCTCATTAGAATAAGCAGGGGAAATTGTAAGTTTCATTTACTATTCCACGATGCTAAGATTTGGCTATAAAATCCCATTTATTTCATTAATACGACCTCAAATAAAAGAAGGCACCCCCTATCTACATAACGCAATGGAAATCCTGATAGGATATGGCTGCTCAAAAAAGAAGAAGAAGCAATAATTGGTGGGGCTGATTTGTACATGCAGTCTACGGTTGAATAGGGGTTCAGGGTTCATTCACCATCTGCTGCAGCAAGTGAGACCATTATGTCATCAATTCCCTTCTCCATGCCTTTCAACCCACACATGTAAACAAAGGTGTTGTCTCTCTTGAGTAATTCCCACAGCTCTTTTGCAAATTCAGCCATTCGGGTCTGAATGTACATCTTCTCTCCTTTATCAGTAGTTTGTTCTCTGCTCACAGCAAAGTCCAGCCTGATGTTGTCTGGATTCTTCTCCTTCATTTTCTCAAATTCCTGAGCACATGACATTTGGACATTTCATTCGGAGAATCAGACAAGTCCATGGATTTCTTTTTCCAGCTTTGAATGCTTACCTCCTTGTACAACAATGAGCTACTTGTAGGAACACCAAGGAAGAGCCATGGCAAACCGTTGAAACTCATTAGTACAATAAACATATTGATGAGTTCATGCCGCTGGTAATGATTCTCTCTTTTTTTTTTTTTTTTACCTTGTAGTCTTCATGCTTTTCAAAGAACATTTTCCACAAAAATTATCGGAGCGATTCCGGTTCCAGTAGCAAGCTGTAATGAAGTAACTGAGTGAAAAATGTTGTTTTGGAGCATCAGTTAATCAATATGATGGAATCTGCATTTTTCAATGAATGAATGATAATCTTGGTCATATACGAACCATGACGATTGTGGCATTAGGATCTTTTGGCATAATCATTTCCTTTCCAACAGGTCCTGTGATTTTAACTTCTGCCCCAGGTTTCAAGTCACCTGAAGATTAAGATCAAAGCATTTTAGCATCAGTACAGTAAATCAACTACATTATCCTTTAACAAGTGAACATCATGATGAAACATGAAGAGTGCTGCATTATTACACAAGAATTTTGAGCAAACTCTTTTAACAAGTTCTCCTTGTTTGTTGGTGTATACCAGACGTTTCACACATAGGGATACCTGTAATAATACAATAAGATCATACAAAAAAAAAAAAACAGTAGAGCTGCATGCTAACAGGTATATAGATATCCATCACATGATTTGCATCTTAAACTGAAAAGAAAATTAAGTTTTGAAGGTAAACTCACAGTTTTAGAGTCCCCAAAATCACCAATAGCACTGCTAGCAATAGAGTATAATCTCAGCTTGTGAGGTTTCCCATTCTTGTCAACGCCATCAGGAATCACCCCAATGGATTGCCCTTCTCTGTAAGGAAGCTCTCCTGATCCAATCCTACCAGCCAGTCAGCTAAAAATGAAAGGTTGTTTTTTCATAGACAATTTCATAGATATGCAAGTCTCCATTACCATTGAATCATCCGATGTTTTCTCTTCTTTTTTTCACATAGACATACATGCAAATATGTTAAAGGATTTGATTTTGGCATACCCTCAGTGCTGAAGACCATATGCCAAGTCTCTCCAGGAGCATCATCGCCGGTGATCTTAGTGTTTAAAAGGCATCTGCCAATGTAAGGCTCCTTTGGCTTGAACTTGTTAACCACAATACCTTCATCGTCCTTCTTGGATTCCTTCACAACTTTTGCAGGAGCTTCAGTTGTAACCTGCGCTCATCGGAAACCAATCTCCCTCCACTCGACACATCTCTGTAGTAAAACGAAACCTAAAAAAACAAGAAACAGTTCAACAGCTCACCAACTGCATGTAAACTAGTACAAACAAGAGAAGTTGTTACCTTCTTGAATGTGATTCTTTCAGGAGAAATGATAGAAGTTCGAGTGGTACAAGGAAAGGAGACTGCAGCAGTTACAGCAGCCATGGCTATTGAGGATGAAGAAGTAAAGAGAGGAGGAAATGTTATTTGATGTGTAGTTGTTGGTGAAGAAGTAATGGGGATGAGATGAGAAAATCTAAAAGGATGTGGTTGGTATTCTTCTCTATTCGTTTGAGTTTGGATGCTGAATTGGGTGGAGATTTGAAGCCTCTACGAGGATAAGTCTATGTGCAAATCACCAAATGTATGACTCTCACTCACCATTTATATGTACACATTTCTTTTTATGTGAATTACAGCATTTTCGTCTATTCGTCAACTGTTTAAACAGAGATTAAATTCGTCGAATAAAAAATACAATATGAAATAGAAGATGGCCAGGGGGTCCAAAGATGACTTTGGGTTAACTTATTTGAGTCCACCAAATCAATCCATGGTCAGATTTTTCAGCCCAATTTACAAGTTGAATTTTGCTTTCGGTGCCCAACATCCCATTCTATATAAGTACATTGATATTCATCCCATTCTTGTGGGTGGTTTTGACTTTTGACATGTATATTCACATTTCTTCACTTGGATTTGTTGATTCATTTTTGAAAATGAGCAAATTTGACTCAGTTTCATGGTTTGCTCCTTTCAGAATATCACTCAGATTTTCTCTCTTTTTTTGTCAAATTCTATTATTAATCTCTATACTATGCACAAGTTCAGAATTTAATTCTTATATTATACTTTGATCTTGTATAGTCTGTGTAATTTTGAAAATTTGAATTAGATCCAAATAGTAACTACTGAATCTACCAAGTGAAATTCTGCTGGTAGTTCATCTACCAGGCCTATGGTGCAGAATCAAATTATGTTCTCCTATTTAATCATTTTTAGTCTTTGTAATTTAGAAATAGTATATGGATTAAATCCACAACTTAAGCACAAAACAACGACCAATGATAAAATTTGACCTACTTTTTTTCCTTCAATTTTCCTTGGGTTTAACCAAAGGATGAAAAGATAAATGGTTGTCAAATAAATTGGTAGGAATTTGACAGAGGAAAACATTTCGAATAATACAGTAGAAATGGGGGAGAGAGAGAAAAAGACAAGGACATTAGCACATATTTTACCTACTTTTATTTGCTCATAAACCACTTGCTGCAAGAGGTATAAATGCATGGCGGAACCAGACTCAAATTCCTTGTAGGTGACAACCTAGGCAGGCCGGTTTTAGTTTGTTGATGGAATTTGATGACAGCAAAAAAAAAAAAAAAAGTTAAGAGCAACTGGTTTGAAAGGATCCAACCCCCCATTAATGAGGCCGAATCATTCTTTTATGTGGTTAGAAACCACTTCAAAAATTCCAGGTCAACTTCAACTTATAGGAGCCATGCAATTATGATCCGCCGTAGAAGACGACTGCTAACTGTATGTACACTGCCTTAGAATGATGAATCTGAAGAAAATGATGGGATATTGTTCTCGATTGAATCAATGAAACCCCCTTGAACCTCTAGACTGATACAGCTCCAATCTACTTTTGGCTTCTGGTAGAATTCTGTCCACTGTTTCGTCCTGGGTCATCTTGAATTGCTTGGATGCCCATTCCAGCACCATCAGCACTTCGGCTTGGGCGAGTTCTTCGCTGTCGGCTACGTGGAGGGCAATGTAGCATAGGAGAACTAATGCTGAGTGCTGAACAATTGGTTCCCCGAAATACACTAGCTGAATCAAATGCTTCGCACCCCCTGCTCTAATGATTGACTTGGAGTGACCGAGGTGTAGGTAGTTGTTGGTGCAAGCGAATTTGGTAAGAGCAATGGCAGCCTCGTTGCAAACTTCGGCTTCCCTATCGTCGAGAAGTTTAACCAATGGGAAATCATCCTCGTTTCGGTTGCTCGAAACGTCCTCGCCAGATTACCGATGGCCTTGATACAAGGAATCAGCAATTCTGAATCGGCCTTCTCGATTATCTTCAACAGCTGATCCACAACGAGCTTACAAGCATGAGAGTTCGGTTTAAACGCAGACCTTCTCAAATCGGTATCCTGCTCTGCCACAGCTGTGATCTCCATCAACGCCATGGCTGAATTAAGCCGGATTTCTTTGGTTCCTTTTTCTAACAAAACAGCAAAACATAGCAGCGCTCTAGACTCGGTGATACTCCGACAGATGGTCGAATTCCCCTTGGCTAGATTCCATAAAGCTCTAGCAGCCATTGCCTTCATATAAGCCTTAGCAGCAATATCTTCTGCTTCCCTTCCCATTATATTCTGCTGCTGCCGTTGTTG